GATCTGTCTCCTTGGCCAATATCTACTCTTTCCAGCCTCTCCCGAAAGAGGATAACAATGTATCATTTAGAAAAACGTAGAAGCTAGTTTTTTAATGTCTTCTGATCAGCTAGAAAACAAGAACAAAAAAAGTCAACACAAAACGCGTCTTCACAGTAGAATGTGTATTGTTCAAGTAAAGCATTTGTTGACAAAAAAAAAAAAACACAATGGATGCTATCAGGCGATTCTGAATTCTCTCTTTCTGACCATAAGTAGTAATGATATGAATCTTTCTCAACAATATATCTAATATGATATTTGACATTGTTTAACTCGAGACCACATTGTAGCTCTCTCAATGACTTTTTATATGTAGGTTCATAACTCTTTTAGATATAATATTCCATTGTCATACGCACAGTGTTTAATTTTGGGATATGAGAATCGACTTCACAACCTATTGATACAAGAAGCTGTCTGTTTCCTAAACAATATCCTATCCCTTATTATAATTTCACCTTATACAATGTCTTCACTTCACAAAATAGAGAACATTTAATAGCAATCCGAACAGCTGAAGAGCGCTACAGTTATACCAAGGACGTTCTGTCACTTGTAGAACGTCCTTGGTTTTACAGTTCACTGATTGTCTTATGTCACCACACAAGAGTTCATGCAGGTATAAAAACTACACTTAATAGCAGTTAAACTAGAATTCACTTAAATGACGGCCTTTCAGCTTCAGACTTCAGTAAAGTCTCTTGGTGTAATGCTTCACAAGAAACCACCAAGAGACCGTAGCTAACTAAAAAGGCTACTTTGGTCTCATGACTTAAATGTAGTACAAACATGTTGTTTTTAGAAGACGTTTTAGCAGCATTATGGCATATGTATACAACACTACTCGTCCACACCTACTAACACCCTGTGTTTACAACGTCCTGCTATATCAAAAAGATACCGGTGGCAAAAATACAAGAACATTCTTGCACCAACTTTCTTCTTGATCTTCCTACAGTTAAGGGAGATTTGTGTAGGATTCGGAAAGTTTCTTTTCCAACAAAGTTGCAAATAATGGTGCAAATATGCTAATAGTAGCTGTACATTAACATTTGATTTCTATACAATGTTTCCGTTTTACCGAAATCTTACAAAGAGTCAGTCTATCTGATTTATAAAACGTGTACTTGAAAAGTGTCTTTCCCAAAAGTGTCTACTTGTATCACTTCTTAGGCAGGTAGTGATATCTACACCATACTTATAAAACCCTGAGATTCTACTGTAGTAATACACGGTGTACCTTAACGTCTACTTTCAGACGTCGTTTTCCTTAATTGTTAGCTGTCCAAAGAGGCTATACAGATGTATGGTTTTTGTCATGGCATAACTTCGCTACATGAATGCTACTTCAGTTCACCACAGATGAATGCTTAACAGTGTAAAAATGTGGTAGTTACAAAAGCACACATATATTACAATTACAAACTTGTTACTTGTGGAATGCTCTTGGGGGACAATGTCATAATTATTTGTCCAACAATTGATCTCTCTTAAATGCTTATGACATACATATGATTGTCTGTTTGTGCATGCTTTCCAAAAGCTGCACCATCTATTGGAAGCACACAGGAACTTTGCATAGAAACGATTTGTAGAAGACATTTGAGCATAAATTCCTGTCCCGAAACCAGGCCACAGAGGAAAGCACCTACCTCCAATATAATGAGAAGTTTCAACAAATTAACTATCAAGTATCGAAATCTTACGGTTTAAAAATCTCACTCTTGTGCAAAATCACTTCAACACATTCAATTGTAAAATCCCAAAAATAGTGTACTGGATTCACCTATCTTATTACTATTGTAAAACCCCTATTGTCGTATGCCAGTGTAATACACACTGGTATTAAATAACCAAATAACTAATGTCTTACAATTTTTTGTCATGGCATTATACAAATTCTCCAAGGCTAGGAAGACTTAATTTGTGCTCTCTATTATGCTAATCTCCAAGCAGATTACAACAAGATATTGGCCTCAAATGGATACAGGAGGCCAATATAGAATCCCCTTGCCCCCACAGAATCTGCTTGGAGATTATAATATGCAGCAAGACATATACATCTGCTTGTATATTTACATTAACATAAACGTTTTTATCACTAATAATTGTGCATTAATGTGCAGATACACGTATACAGCACTCTGCTTTCAGCAGCATTATTATATCAAACTTTTGTGACACAGTCAAGGCACTTTCTTTTTGATGCCACAAGGAACAGATTACAGAGAACGCAAAACAGAAAAAAATTTGAAATGCCTTTAAAAAGTTTAACTTTGTAACATTACACATATTTCAAACACCATTTTGGAGATGAAAGTTTATATATACACAGATTAAAGCCTTTAAAAGTCACTCTGTACACAAGAAATTGTCTGTATTTGTCCTAAAACAGTTCGTATTTCACTGCTTAAAACAACAAATGCTTCAGATTTGCCAGTTTCTGTGCTAGCGGGTATGATACAAATGCAATGGCAACATGTCATCAGACACTTTAGGTTTTTCTTTGCATTTGTAAAATTGACACTTACTTTTGGACTTCATCTCAAGCAAATTTGGAATTTATTATCAGACCACCAGTACGATTTTGTTTCCATGTGCACCTGATACAGGCCACATTTTCCCACCACATCAAAGAAGCCTAGGCGACAAAAACTGTACTTTTTAAATTATGCCGAATCTAGTTATTGTTATATTGTTACCCAGTATCTTTTCAAGATCAGAATTTTCAGGGACACATTCTTTTTTCCAAGTGACATTTTCCAAGAGATTGTCAGTTTGATATAACAAGGATCCTCAATATGATACAACCATTCCTAAAATCATGATAAATGACTGTTTATGTTTGTTTGTTTGTTTGTTTGTTTTTTACTCATCACCAGAGGCAGAGACGGCGGCACTTGCAGCGGCCTGCGGTTCCGGCGACTCCCGCTGTGTGGCGCTGCTGACCGTGCCGGTGTCCTGCTTGAGTTGGTCCTGCTCGGCTTGAGTCAGCTCCTCCATGTGCGAGCGCAGCGTGTGCAGTTTGAGCGAGCGGAGGTGCGTGAAGCGGGCGTCGCACGTCTTACACTGGTACGGCTTCTCCCCGGTATGGATCCGCATGTGGACCTGACGAACGTGAAGTAACAAGAAATCGGGGGTTTCAGGCTTTGTCTTTGTTTCGATACCCTTTGGCCAAAAATGGCTCGTCTTACAGGGTACATGTACAAAAATAAAAACATACAATCATACATACATACAACAGATAAAATGTTATAAGAGCACACATATGACACAAAGTGAACTTTACATTATAAACAAAAGGAAAATAATATACAGTTTAAATTTAAAGTAGTGTGGATTCGATTAATTCCTCAAGATAACCGACATCTAGCACACTGTATACATGTAGTCGTCCCTCAGTAAAGACGTGTAGTCGTCCATCAGAACGATAGGCTGCCATGTGTATTCATGGGCCATATGTGTTCAATAGTAAAGCATACCTTCAGGGACAACTTCTACGAACATTTTGAGCCATAACGTTTAGGAAATTACCAGCCTTAATACTATTTGAACCTTGCTTATTGGGAATTTGACGAAGATAGATATGAAGCATGTTTACCTTGAGTGTGCCTAGCTGGCTGAACTTGGCTCCACACGTCCCGCACTGGTACGGTTTCTCCCCGGTATGGATGCGGGAATGTGCCTTCAGGTGACCCAGCTGGGTAAAACGCGCCTGGCAAACCTGAAGAAAAGATGTAGCAAGAACATGAGTATAAGAATTTTGGCTATGGATGGGACTTATGCCATCTGTCCACCTCAGCCACAAATGATAAAACCAAGCATAGCTATGTCGATCATAGACGGACGAAAGTAACGAAGAAATCGAAAGTAGCTTCCCTCAGATTGGCTGGACAGCAGCAAACTCCATGAGTATTTTTGATTGTGACCTGAGATGACTACCTTCGCCAAGAAGGCTGTGTTGTCGGTAGCGTCGTGTGTCTGTGCTTAAGAAGGCTTACATGGATTATCTTGATATTTGGCAGGTGAGTAGGTCTTGAAGAGATCTTGAAATAAGTGAAATTTTGGACCCCAGGCCCCGGTGGCTCGTCATCACATATTTTCACATCAAAACATGGATTTCATTCATGAAAAAAGGGAACTGCCAGAGCCACATGCTGTCCTACTTTGTAAAAAACGAAGAGGACCGGAAAATGAGGAAGACTGAGATAACTTGCACTGGTAAGGTTTTTCCCGGTGTGGATTCTCTGGTGTGTTTTAAGAATCTCCGGTGGTGTGTGTTTTCACATAAAAAAATGAAGCTACATGCTATCTTACTTTGTAAAAAAAAAAGAAGATTGTGTATACCTTGCACTGGTATGGTTTCTCCCCCGTGTGTATCCGCTGGTGCGTCTTGAGGGACTGCAGGTGGGTGAACTTGTTCTTACAGATGTCGCAGGTGAACGGCTTGTCCCGGATGTGGATCCGAGAGTGGATCTTCAGGTCAGACGCCTGCGTGAACCGCGCGTTACACACCTGGACAGGGAACAACAGGTTTCAAACTTATATAGTAGATATAGTAGATATGGGATCCATGTACAAAGGAAGAGAAAAACAAACCAGAGAGGGTACAGAACCAAGCCACAAGATTCTTTACGAACAAATATGAAAGGGGTGCCTAGGAGTAGATGTGTTCATGAACGCATTTTCCCTAGAACTATCGTGGAGGGGAAAGTTTTGAATCAACTGCTGACACGGAGCCGTCTGGTCCAGGATACTGATCTTATTTGTTTGGGACGGAAGAAGAAGAAACCATGAGCAAAAACAATATGTTTTCCCTTTTAGACATCGAAGGACAAACAAGCAAACTAGCCTTGTTCTACAGTCAAACATGCCCAGAAAGGCCTCAGGGGGGAACAACGTTCTAACAAACAAACAAACAAACAAACAAACAAACAAACAAACAAACACGCCGACAAAATGCAGAAATTGAATCCATGTAACAAAATGACAGGAGGAGGAGAAGGAGGAGAAACACGAAGTAAAACCGTTACGATATATTTCAGCAATACTTATACGTATACGGTGTAGACAGAAATTCTAACAAGCCCACCTCGCAGATGTAGAAGGAGTACATGTCCTCCCCTCCGTGGTGCTGCATGTGAGAGATCAGGTTCTCGTAGATGGTGATAACAAACAAACAAACAAACAAACAAACAAACAAACAAACACACGTACCTCGCAGATGTAGAAGGAGTACATGTCCTCCCCTCCGTGATGCTGCATGTGGGAGATCAGGTTCTCGTAGATGGTGAACTGGGTCCCGCAGGTCTGACAGACGTAGATTGTGCTGTCTTGACCGTTCTCCTCCACAGTGATGGAGTAGTACAGCTTGTCGTTGTTGTGGATCTTCATGTGACCCGCCAGCTTCCTGACCGTCGGGAAGGGGATGCCGCACGTCTTGCAGGTGAAGACCAGAGGCGCGTTGCCTGCTCGGACCACGTGGTGGTGGTTTTCCTGGTGGATGTTTATTAATACACTTATGTTCAATGTTACAAATAAAATCCAATATGAATGAAATACAGAGGAAACTTAATATCTAATACAATGCAATAATGTACTTAAGAACCAAGATATTAAAAATGTTCCAGTTCAAAATGTTGATTAACAAGCAAGTCTAGTTCCTCACGGCATTAGCCTGTGTTCCAGACTGTTTCCAGGACCTCGGCTCCAGGGCCCCGGGCCAACATGCCCCCAAGAAAATTACACTACAGACCCCAAAGTTAGGCCCTGATGGCTAATAACTCTGGGCCTAGCGTGCTATGGGTCTGCCATCCAGGCTACAATGGCACACAATGAAGAACACGATAAAATGATAAGACACGGTTGCGAACCTACCTGGCTGTTGGGGCTCTTCCTGTCGGGCGGTGACATGGCCTGCGGACTGGTCTGTCCAGCGGCCATGTACTTCAGCAGGTGGGGCGCCTTCAGGACGTCTGCGGACGGCGGCGAGTGGTGGCCGTGGCCGGCGGGTTTGGCGTCGATGCTGCTACTCGGAGGGTGCGGGATGGTCAGGTGGCCCCGGTTGACCACGAGAGGGGGTCGCAAGGTGGCGAGAAGATGCGGGGAGATGAGCCGGGGGCCGCCGCCGGGGAGCCCGGCCGGCGCGACGAAGGTTCCAGGCGGGAGGGCGGCGTACGGGAACCGCAGCAGAGTCGGCTGTCCGTGGTGCGGGGTGACTATCATCGGCGGGGGATGATGCCCCGCTGCTGCCGCGACCGTGACGGGCTTAGCGGTCAAGTTCATCCCTGCTGTGTCTCTGTTCGCGGGGATCTGGTGGAGAGAGGCGGGGAGGGTTGCAGGGTGGCCTGCGGTGGAGTTTTGCCCCATGAGGGCGGCCACCACCGTGGCGCCGAGCGCGTGGTGAGCAGTCTGCATCGCCGGGTTCGGTACAACCCTCGTCGGCAAGGGGTGGCCGTTTGGTACCGGCGAAAACACGAAGTTGGGGCTGGTGTTACTAGTATTCTTGGGTGTGCAAGGCGGCGTGGGGTACGTGCCGCCGGAATTGTTGTCGCTGGACCGTCGCCGTCTCTTCGCGTCTTGTTGCTGAATCGTGCTGCTTTTTCTCTTCATGGAGAGGTCCAGCGCGCCCACGTCGTCAAACACCTCAGAATCTTCTTCCTCCTCCTCCTCGACTTTCACCCGAACCTCCTCACCCGTGGAAGACGTCGACGTTTTGGTTTTGACGCTGAGATCGAGAATAGCCTCCTCTGTGGTCGCTCTGGAGCTGGAAGACGTTGTTGAAGCTGCACTCGTTTCAGCCTGGCCGTTTGCCTGTGGCTGTGCCTTGTGCGGTTTAGAGTCTTGGCAGACTTCGGCGGTGGTTTTCATCTTAGAAAACATGAGTTCAACTATCTTGTTGGCCAGAGTATCTCCAGGAGCGGCCTGGGGTACTTTGTTCACAGGTAGGTCATCGCTGTTTGTCTGTTGAGGTGAATCCGGGCCCGCCTGGCTGGGATCGTCGTTTGATTCGTTTTCTTGGGGCCTTTTTGTTGGGTCCTTTTTCTGTCGTGCCATGGCGGAGCGAATGTCACTGTCCTCTTCTGCCCTTGACAAAAGGAATGAACAAAACTTCACAACGTGTTTTAAGTTAAAACTTTTGTTACAACATTAAGAATTGTTCTCACTCTGGTCAATAGACTGGTCGAAAGCTTTAGTTGAGAACATTTTTTGTGTGTTAGAACGTTCGAACCAAGGTTTTAAGATTTACTTTAAACATATGTAACTACCAACACAGATGAACTTTAATGATCATATATGACGCCACTTAAATATCACTGTAAACCAAATCTACTACTGCCAGAAGAAATATCGAAATCTATTAACTATATGCATCTAAGAATTCACCGCTTGGCCGATTGGATACTACCTTCCTGCAGTTAGCTGCATCCACACTAGAGGGCATCGTTTTCTCTATTCGTTGCCTTACATGCAGTGAAGGAATGAGATGTGTGCCCACCTGTTAACTGTTAACCATGGATGTGCGTTCCTGATGCAGAGTGGTACTGACTGGGTACATCTCTCCTTCCAAATTAGAGCAGATCAACCCTCACCATGTTTGCCATGTGACTGGTTACCTGCAGGTAAAATAAAACAAGACAAAACTGTTACTTAATGTCTCTGAGTACGAAGGTTAACTTTTCTGTCTGTGTGTGTCTGTGTGTTTGCCTGTATTTTCAAGAAGTCAGAAAAGTAGCTCTAGACCGACAAAAAACTTCATTACTTTACCAGTACAAAATGCTATTTTAGGATCATGATAGACACACTAAGTGCGTTTCAAATGTCATTTCTAAGGGCATTTCTTTTATGAAGCCATATCAAGTATGCAAACGCCTATTAGAACAAAGAAGACATATTACACGCGCCAACGGTTGAATGTGTGCCTGTAAAGATTTAAGAAGTACAGTTAAGAGGCACTTCAAGAACAGGAAACCAACACTTAATGTTAAGCAGACCCCCGTCTAGAGACTGTACGTGCACGTAGCACCTTAAGCTTGTGCCGTAAATATCAGATTGTGTACTTAAGACGGATCGTACGATCTTAAGGCTTAAAACCCCCTCTCCGATTGAAACCCGGACCCTCCAGCCCGCCCCGGTAGTGTATGAACACGTGGTATGAATGTGTAAGCGATCCCTACTCTCCAAGCAGAGGTTTGGGTTTGGGCTTATTTTTGGCGTGTTTTTAGGCTTTTTTTATTGGGCACTTTTGCACTGGCGTTGTCGTAAACAAAGATACAATTTCAAAAAAAGAAATCTTGATTAAAAAAAAGCATAAAAAACACGCCAAAAATAAGCCCAAACCCAAACCTCTGCTTGGAGAGCTCGAGAGTAAGTGATCCCCAGCTGAAATGACACTCACACAAAAGACGCGCACGCTTAAATAATAGAACCGGCGGTGATTGGTCAGTGCGAGGGGGTCTGTTTCCAAGCAGCTCTTTGTGCCGGCTTGAGTTGAGAGTAGCAACCTCAAGCCATTAGAGTCATTGTAGTAATTAGTGTAGAGAGATCTCCATAGTTCTCTATTTGTAAACGTTTGTGTTAGAGGTATGAAAGAATTAAAATACGCAAGCATATTCAACACAAGTATCACAAGTGGTATATACAAGTGACATTATACGACAAAGGTTAAGAGAAATGCAATGATTTTTAAAACTCTTTTCCACTTCTAGTCTTTCAGAGCACTTAAAATCTACAGTAAGATATTTTCAATAAATTTTGGTATATCAAAAAAGGAATATTTGTACATTGATCAATTGGTATAACTATATTTCTATGGCGTACACAGGTATACTACTACTAAAGGAGCTGCTCTAAGGTTTTGGTGTATTAAAATGCTGTTTCATACAGTTGTCGAAGATAAAAATACCCGAAAGTTAAAAAATCAAATCATATCTATGAAAAAAATGTTTTTTTCCTCTTTGGGGGTGAATATAGCAATTCTTTACTAGTCCTCAAGACTTCGTTGTTAGATTACTGACTTGTGGGTACATGTGGGAAACACAGAGGTGAAATTGAAAAGAAAATGTTTCTAAGATATCTAGAGAAACTAGTTATCTAGTGTGTGCATTCTGTATCTGTCCAGCCGGTATAACCGCCCTTTGGCGTAACACACCAGCTTCACAGGCACACGGCGCGGCGGCAGCTGGCTACATTACACCGATCGACTTGTTACACCTAACCCTTGAACATCTAACTCTAGACATTGTTTAAACCTATCTAATGGCAATACCCCTACTGTACTTGGTGACAGCGAGTTCCACTCTGCAATCTTCAAACCTTAACACACCTGGACTATTGGACAGACTGAAAAAGAACGTTACTTGAATATCAATTAGCAGCAGGCGCCGTAATGAATCGTCACCTTTTGGCTTGTGCCGGCGCGATTACACGGATGAGCAGACAGGAAAAGGTCGGTTTTATTTACCTTCAGACACGCTGGGGATAATTAATCATCGGTAAACTGCATGGGCTGTCTGAGAGTTGAACAGCAGTCGTTATTTATATGTTTGATATTTGTTTGCTTGATATTTTTTTTTATTCCACCATTTCATGACTAGACATGGTGACAGCACACTCGAGATGTTTCAACTTATTTTATGCCGCCACCAAAACAGAGGACAAATACAGGACAGGACAGGACAATACCGTTTCACCTGAGTTAAGTGAGGAAAGTCGTGTTAAGTGCCTTTCCCAAGGGCACAAGATCGGTGACATGTCAGGACTCGAACCCGGGACCTCTTGGTTCCGATTCGAGTGCTCTGCCATTATTTGTTTGATATTTGTTTGTTTTGTTTGAGATTTGTTTGTTACTTATCCACGAAATACCCAAATTGATATGGACCACATTTCAATTTTATTTTCTATTCCAACATTTCGACATTACCACCTGGTTTGACACTTTGCAGTTTATACCATGGGTTTCCTCACAACATGGAGGTAACCAGCAGATCTATAAACTGACTGAGAGTTCAACAAAGATCTAGCGAATTTCAAACTTAGGTCTTCCCTACGTTTTTCTAGGAAGGGCAGACATAAGTAGGATAGGGCGTCGTTATAGCATGTATACTGGGGACCGAGAATTATCCGCAGTGCACGTATACGCTCAATCAGCCTGATTTGCGTTAACTGTCGTAAACGCAGTATGTGACAGGAACTTAAGTTTAAGAGTCACACAAAGTGATGATTCACCTGCACAAACTGGGACACTACACGGAACTGTCTGTGTTTGCAGAAGGCTTTAAAATGTCGCTTATACAATGGTTAGTATCCCCGAGACCTCTACTTACGCGTGTTAGTCGGATTTAGACAGTACGTAGACATTTCCTCGGTCTCGTAAGACCATGAAGATACTTCTTATGTACTTATCGTTTGTCTAAGACAGTACAACTATGCGCAAAACACAACCCGAACGTTTGCTCGTGTACTAAACGGGTCGGGAGAGAATATATGCGTCTTTTTGGTTTTTGTACAACACGTATGCACAAATATACATCTAAGAATTACGTTTGATTAATTACCCACATTATTCTAATGTCACATTGCTTTTGATATTTTCAGATTTCTGGTCTCTTTGGTACAGTTCCAGTTCCAGTATAACTATGTCTGATCTAAGCAATTAAAAAGACAATACTGGGGTTTCTGTGATTAGAGAAAATATTCACGCTTCAAAAAATCAGTCTGAATATTAAATAAAGTTGTCACGGAATTTAAGAGCAGCCATATGTCTAGATTCCAATACACCGCAAACACCCACAGACACACACAGAAACACCACACACGCAAACACAGGCATGCACACGCACGCACATACTATAAGAAGCATTAAAGGGTTTTTGAAATTTGCACGCAAGTTTCTCTCGATGAAAATGAAGCTACTCTAACAAATAACTTCTTCTATGTACGAGTACAAACCAGCGCTACTTCTCACCATGCAACCCTTTTAAATCTGACGTCTTTGCGGCCGTGTTGTTTTGTCTACGAAAAAAAAAACCCACCGACAATCACCAGACCTTCAGCTAACAAACACCTTCAAGTTGTGGAAACGTTTCTTTTTTTTTGCTTGACATGTCTGAGGACTGATACACCTGACGCACGACCACTTAAGTAACCTGGCGTAAAACAATACTTACAGGAGCAGTCGACGACACAAGAAAGCGTGGCAGAGACACTCCCGGTTTTAAAACTTACAGGTACAAGAATGTTTTCCTACCTGTCCACCTGACGCTATATATAGAGTCCACCTTCGCTCGCACCGTACTCTTCAACCTTTACGACCTAATTTTTCAAAAGCAGCTCGAGCTATTGGCATCGGGTATTCTGTACAAATACTGCTAACCAAAACAGAGCTGACCCGGCTCCATTAGAGCTCGCGTCCGTCTCCCTTTGTGCACGCTACTTTCCATAGAGCTGTGATACGCCCCGATTTGTTGGGCTGACTTCCCCTCCTGCTCTAATGTTACACCGACAATATTTTGGAAAGGATTAAGTGTACGGATTATTTACAGCAGAAATAAAGATCTTTTATGTGATTCGTAGGTGGCGCATGGCCCGCGCGACCACACTGACAATGGGTTTTCATAGAAAATGGGGTCCCTTTTCCCGCTCGCGCTTTGTGCGCGCTGAAACAGCATCGCACAAAAATGTGTCTGGCCTCTTTCTTCGGCTGAAATTTCAACCCTATCAATCAGCCAGTCCTCACATTTGACAATCTTGGGTGGCATAAGTGTCAAAAGTGCGGCACAATGCTCTCATATATGCACGGCTCAAATTCGTCGAGTATGCTGCGCAAAGAACAATCACACACACACTAACCTAGCCTCCGTATAGCAGGCTTATAGAACTGGGGGTTTGGTGGTCTTCGGCTGTTTTCTGATTAGCCACAAGACAGGGGTAATTCAACCAGGCCGGTTATGTTGTCTATATGCAATCAGAAATAGCACATAAAAGCTCCCAAAGACCATGAAGACCCCCAAAACCCCAGTTTTAGGCATGTTATGGAGGCTAACACGTACCCGTACTGTGGTTCTTTCGTGGCTACCTTCCTCCCATCACTTCATGCTTAGACAGTGACAGAAGGATTTTACTGAAGGACCTTTTTTCAACTCTAACGTCGAAATGATAGGTGTCCTTCCCGGTGTGAGTGGTTCAAACCTTACAGTCCTATGGCCGCACCTGGGGTCGTATTGAGATCACCTGAGTTAGCGCCTATTGGCAGACCATTGCGATTAAGCTAGTCCCACCAATTGTAAGCTTTTCTCATAGCTCTTCAGCCCTTGGCTGCGAACAGAGCTGAAGAGAGAGTAGCTGGTCCACCCAATACAATACAATACAATGTTAGCCTTCATAGCAAAAACTGAGGGTTTTGGGGGTCTTCATGGTCTTTGGGAGCTTTTATGTGCTATTTTCTGATTGCATATAGACAACATAGCCGGCCTGGTTGAATTACCCCCGTTTTTAGAACTAGGCTATAATCAGAAAACAGCCGAAGACCACCAAACCCCCAGTTCTATAAGCCTGCTACGGAGGCTAACATTGTTGAGATCTGACATCTTATCCTACCCACCTGTCCCTGGATATG